AAAACTTAATAATCTTGTTATAAATATATTTTTTTACCTTATTAGTAATAAACATCCAATTTTTTGCTATAATAAAAATGGTTCTATAATCTAACATCTTTGTCTTTCCTGAACTAAATTTTCTTTAAAAATCCTTTACTCAACCAAGTTTAATTAATGTACCTCAGTCTGTCTTGGCGAACATCTCTAAATGATTGATTAGAATTATTCTTAAGGATATAATTTAAACACTGAAAGTCTCATCCTAAACTAAATAAAAAGTCCATCTGCCTTTGCTGGAGGTTTAAACCTGTGCTACTTTCTGATATGCAGTCAGAGGGCTGCATTTTGGACACTAGAGGATGAGGGGCAATGATTCCAAAGATGCACGCCTTCTTCGGGTCTTTCATGCCAAAACCTCTATCAGTAGATCAAGAGTTTATCTACATTTTCCGACACTCAAACATTCCTAAGCTTTGAAAAGAAAAAGACAAAACAAATAAAAACAGATAACTTGTATTAAAGTTGTTTCAGATTCCGATCTTTATTATTGTGTGTGCGAGGCATGTGCTGAGCAGACCACAAGCACATACAGAAATGTCTTTGCCATTAAAAGCCATGTCACTGTAGACAGAACCAGAGTCAGTTTCATCAAGTTCAGTTTAAATAAGAGTCAATATAATGTAGCATCCATCACATTTTGCATTTACCGGTGAAAAAAAGCCCAAAGTAAATGATTTCATTCTTATTTTAATGAAAGGCAGCCACTTAAGAAATCTATCAAATGCGTCGCAGAGCTAATGAGTATATATAACCAGGTAAAACTGAACCTTCTTTAATTTGGTGAAAACTAAAGTTACTGAATGAGTTTTAACAAAAAATGAATTAACTAAACTTGTTACTAAACAAATATGCTTTATGACTGCGTTTGACTTTTTTTAAGGTGACATCAATAAGAAAACAAATCACTCAGGCTCCACTCAAACAAACGCTAATGCTGACAATTAAAACCGAAAGTATTCCCCTGATATAAAATAATTCATCTACAGATAAGAAATGAAATAATGCAGCAATGACGTCATGCTTTGAAGGTTGAATTGGAGTTTCAATAAAAACCAACTGAGGGTTAAAGCGAACCTCTAATTCTCTGACACTGACTGTTAAATCAGATCCATGTGAACAACAAACAGAAGGTATTAAATGGAAATGGTTTGGTTTTCCTGTGAAATCAGCTCCATGTTCTGTAGGTCTGGTTGAGCAGAGAACCGTTCCCTCTGCGTCTGTGGAGAACTGTGGGACCTCCTCAGACAGAACATCAGTCAGTGGCTCTGCTGCCTTCAGCGCCCCCTGGAGTGGCTCCGGTCTCTGCTGTTGCTGTATCTGTGGTACCTTCGCCTGTGATGACTGTGACTCCTGTGGCTTTTGCTCCTCTTTCTGCTGTACCTGCGATGACTTTGTCTTTGGCTCCTCCCCCTGCTGTAGCTCCTCCCTCTGTGGCTTAGGCTCCTATCCCTGCTGGAGCTTCTGCTGCTGGAGCTGCACCTCCTTCCCCTGTGACGGCTTTCGCTCCTCCTGTGACTCCTCCTTCGGCGGCTCGAGCTCCTCCTCCGTCTACTCGAACTCTGGGAGCGCCTCCTCCTCTCTCGACTGCGCGAGCTCCCATGATCCCCCCGATCCCTGCTGTGTACGCTCCTGACAAGCTCTTTTTTATTGTCCGCTCCTCGTCTCTCCTTTGATTTAATTTTCACCAAAGCTGCAGGATGCACAGATCTAGATTTTTGCAGTTCTTTACCATCATCCTTCTTCACCCCATTGACCCGACCCAGAACCCCGAGCATCATATCGCTAAGATCCGGAGCTGCTTCTTTGGTTGGCGGGCCGCCCAGGTCTGCTCCTGCTGTGCTCTTCTCAGTGCTCTTCTTGATCAGGTTGCACAGCAGCTTCTCCCTCAGCTCCTTCTCTTTCCGCTGGAGCTCCAGCGCTCGCTGCTTCTCCACCTCAACCCTCCGAAGCTCCTCCTCCTGCTTTCGTCGACAGGCCTCCAGCTGCTGAAGACGGACCAGTTCCTCCTTCTGACGAGCTTCTTCCTGCATCTCCTGCTCCCTGCGTTCAGCCAACTCCTTCTCCTGCTGCTGCTGCTTCAACATCTGGTGGAAAAAAAGGAAGAGAAAAAAAACAAATCAGAAATGCACAAAGAAAACAGAAGAATATGAAAGCTGATGTTTATAGTGTGCATTTGGTAAAGTCAAGATTGTTTTTTACATTTCATCTTATGTGGCAACAACCAACTTCAGTGAATTCTGTTAGGATTTTATGACTGAATAAAAAAAAAAAAAAAGCTTAAATGTTTAATTGTGAAAAAGGAGGAATTTTTGCTGTTAGAAATCTCCAAAGCTAACCTTATATGATAGTTAAAAATCAAATCTGTTTATATCGAAACCTTTGGAAGTCAGCATAGATGTCAGTAAAGATCCAGCTGTTCTGAGAAACCCTCAGAGCTGAAAGAATATCATTGTAAGATGAGATTTTTTAACACAACTAAATCCTGAGGATACATTATTCACATAAACCTTTTTTAGACACTCAGTGAAATACTCTGAAATTCAAAATCTTAGGCTAACGGTTTTATTGTTGGACAGAACAAAACCGTATTACTTTTGTCACATAAAAATGATCTTTTCAAGGGAAAAGATGAAGGTTAAAGTAATTACCATGAACATTAATGTGCCCTAATCTGGTATAAAAACAAACTCCAAAGAATACTTCTATAAGAAATTTATGAAAAACACTTCCAGAAAGAAAGAAATACAATAAAACCATCAAAACATTAATGCTGATACAGAAACTTACATTTAACTTTTTGTTTATCTTAACTTACAGTAGACAACATTAGATTAATGGTGGCATTTTTTATAAATCAGTTACCATCAGCTTTAAGACCGAGGTGGACCACATTTGACCTCAGCATTTTTCTGAAAAAGGTGTTTTTATCAAAGTTACCAGAAAACAGTAAATTGAACAATAAAGGGTAAAGATGTTTGTTCTATTTTTGTTGGAACTATATCTTGTAAAGCTGTTGAATTCATTAGGCGGAGTGACGTACAGACAAAATAGGGCTGTTGGGTTTTCCTCAGCAGGGTGTAGATGTGTGTTTGGACTTGTTTTAACGATGGTGTGGGGATTTTAATCTGTTTACACAGTCACGTCATGGGGACCCATATCCTTATGGGGACCACAATCCTGGTCCCCATATGGTTAATTTCCGTTCTTTGAGTTGGGGTTAGGGTTATGTTGGTAGTAGTTAGAGTTAGGGTCTTGGTTAAGCCATATAAAATGATTCAAGTCAATGAAACGTCAGCATATGTCATGAAAGCACAGCTGTGTCGGTGTGTGTGTAATAGGAGCAAATAAATAAAGTCACACAGCGGTTTTCCCCCTGAGCCTTTTTATCTAGATAACACTTAAAAAAAGACAAAGCAAACGGCATAATTAATTTAAAGAATGGGTCTGGAGATGTTTAACGGTTATTTAAGGGAAGAGTAGGTTGTAAAACAGTATCTAAAGCTTTAAATATGTCAGAGTAATGCTCAGCCCATCAAACTGTAGAAATACTGCAATGTTTTGGTCCCAGCTAACCCGCCCCTGAGGGGGTGATCAGACGAAGCTAGTGAGCTTTAATGGTAAAATGGGATCCCAGATTGAGATTGATGTTAGAAATAAGCTACACAGCAAAGCCAGCAGCAGTCTGTGGGTGAACACTGAGCTACCGGTAAGTGAAATGGGAACAGAGGGGGCAGAAAACCCCAAAATTTAACTTAAGTACAAGTAGCACTACTTAATAATGTTTTTATTCATGTAAAACTAAAAAGTAGCCTCTAATGAAACCACTCTAGTGTGAGTAAAAAAGTATTTGGTAAAAAGGCTATTCAATTACTAACTGGTTCAACTACTACCAGTGATCATAATGGATTTGATATTTTAGAAATTGATGTAAAATTGAACAAAATATTAAACTATATGGATATGCAAGTGTTTCAGAGAAAGGGATAAAATAAATATATAATATAGAGTAATTACACAGTTATTAAACTTACAGTATGACTGAATAAGCTTAACTTAGTCTACTGTTGACTGTATTGTAACTCAACCTAATGACACGACAGACTCAGCAGATTTAACCAATAAGCCCTAAAAAAGTGGAAAGTGTTTCTCTTAAAGGTGAATATTTGTTTAGAACAAGCTTCTTTTCATTAAGTGAAGTTCCTCACAATGGTTGGAGTTGCCAGAAACTTTACTCAAGACTAATGATACTATCTCATATTTTTACTCAAGTAAAATTAATAGTCCAATAAAACTACTCCTAAAATTAGATTCTTTTTCAAAATGTTATCCAAGTAAACATAGGTAGTTACTACTTGCCTCTGAATGTAAAGTAAAGTGGAGCTAACTGACTGCCAGGATGGTGAACAGACTTTGTACTGCGATGCTATCTGCATTCGGGCAGCCAGAGTGAGGATTTAAATGGGGATATTATCCAGAGATCCTTTTCTTAATCTGCCTTGTAAATTCTGAATAAACACTGTGGAATTCATTGTTTCATGTGACAAAATATGTTAAACTTAAGCGTCTTTTAAATGCAGAGAGCATCACCAAGCTGTGGATAGAACGTGAAGCCTTACAGGTCTGTGAATACAAAGAGAAACTGCTCCTTTAATCCTTTCCATATTGTATATAATGTCTGCCCATACGGGACATAGATTACTCCAGTGGAGCTTTAAAACATGAACTTTTTGTCCTTTCTAAGGTTAATTACGATGTTCCATGCTTCAGTAACAACAGTGGACAATGTGGAGAGTAATTCAGAGCTTTGCTTCGTTTCACTGTGTTGATTTAATACCTTTGCTCGAGCGAGCAGCTCGGCAATGAGCCGTATTGATTCCAGATTGCGCTGAGCCAGCAGCAGCCTTCGCTCCTCCATGGCAATCTTCACTTGTAGCTTCTTCTGCTCCTGCTCCTGTTGCCTCTTCACCTTCTTCAGATTCCTCCTCTCCTCCTTCTCCCGAAGCTTCTGCTCCCGTTTCCGGATCCTCTCCTCCTTCTTCCTCTCCTTCTCCTCCTCTTCCATCTCCTTCTGTCTCCTGGACAGATGATCAAATGTTATTCCTCTCATTGAAAACCAATCAAAGTAAATCCGAAACATCAACCACTGAGCTATTAATACTATGAATATAAAAATAATGTTTGTAACAAAGTTCAGAGACAGGATTCAATATTTCCATATATATATATATATATATATATATATATATATATATAGCATTTCATTTTTTTTACTTAGTTTCTGCAATCCATAAATAAAAAGTTTTATCCACGTCTGCTGTCTTAAATCGAATGCTAACAAATGTATGTTTTCCTCTCATACTACATTCTGCAGCATCTGTAACTGAATAAATAATTGCACTATTTGTTTTTTTTAAATCGTTTCTTTTGATCAACTCAAGCTCATTTCTACCATACCTCTCCTCCTCCTTCCGCCGCTCCTCCTCTTCCTTCTCCCTCCTCTTCTGCTCCTCCCTCTGCTTCTCCAGCTCCTGCAGCTTCAGTCTCTCCTGGATTCTTCTCTTGATAGACGCGTCACTGAGGTGCTTGCTGGTGTCAAAGGTAACCTAATTAAAAAAAAAAAAACAAGAAAATAAGGAAGCTGAACAACTAAATTCAGGGGTCGACGTTAAGGATTTTTACCACTTGCCCTTTGGGCAAGTGACTTTCACACTTAATTTGCCCAGAAACAATTTTTACTTGCCCAGTATAATGTTTAATAAATATAGTTCCTAATATTCTTTTTTGTATATGGTATATATATCAATGAAACATGTTTGTTTTTTTAAATGTTTTTTGTAATTCAGTATTTTTTAATTTTCCAGGTTCCTGGTGTGTATATGCATGCGTCAGATAATGAACTCAAGCCTACATTACCGTGTTAACATGCCTTTCAATCCTTCCTGCACATTCTTTTCAAACTAAACTTTGCTTTAACTGTTGTGTGCTTGGAAAAATACAAATTGTAATGTTAAAAATCTCAACAAAAAAAAACTTGACAGGTTAAAAACTTAAGATAAATCACAAGACAGAAGTCAATGTCACAAATGAATAACTTATTTTAGAGTCACAGTATGTTTATACAAGATAATACTATTAATATAATGTGACTTTTCTAGAGAATCATTATAGTTATTTTATACAGGGTTTCCACTGTCTTACATAATTTCAGAATTCTCTGACTTTTAACTGACTCAGGATTAATTTCCCCTGACAATAAATAAATGCAGCAACAAGACAATAATAATAACATAACAGGTCACCAATTTAACATGTTTAGCTCTATAACATTTAAATGCACCTCTCCAATGTCTGAGAGAAAAAAAAAAAAATGAAAATTTTTTAATGTATGACCACTGTACAGAAGACTGCCATATGATAGCGCTTTCTAGCTTGTTTGTCGTTTTGGTAACTACATCAAAATTACCGCTAGGTTGACAAAAATCACGCCACCTGACGGAAAATCTCGCGGCTTTTTAAAATCAAGAGTCTTTTTCAAATCATGCGAGAATGTGTACAAAACAACAAAAATGGCGCCGGCTCGGTTGTTTTCAGCTAATGTCGGTGATTTTTAAGTAATTTTGAGTGATACATTTTTTTTGCGATCACTGCACTTGCCCGGCGGGAAAATGCAATGAAATTTGTACTCTCCCGACAATAAAAAATACTTGCCGCAGGCGATCGGGCAATGGTTAACATCGAGCCCTGAAATTAGTGTTTTTCGATCTGAAACTCTACGTTAGCAACTAATTTATGAAACTTTTACACATTTTTCCTCAGTTTAACTGACAGGAAATTTATTAGGGTGAGAGCCAAAACTTATAATCTATTGAAGCTCAATAATGATACACAAAGAATTAAACACCATCATCATTAGATGGGGTGGACTTTCTTTTCTCTCATACTTCAGGTTGGATTAGAAGACTTCCCAACCATCCCAGTGATCATCAACCTGAACATACCGATGATCCAGCTTCACGTCTCATTGCCTTAAAAGTTCTCAAAGCCACTCTAAGTCCGACCAGCAAAGGCACACTGTTAATCCCTACTTACCGCTGATGTTATCACAGCACTTTTAAATCAGTAAAAGTTTATCACGTGGAAAAAGACAAGCAGGTCACATCGGCGCCCTTGAAAGAGATTAAATGCTTTTAGCAGAGAATAAACATTCAGCGTTCTCTTAGTTTATTAAGTCAAGGATGGCTGAGTCCAGGAACAAGGAGCATCAAAATGGCAGTATCTCATACAAAAAGACTAAATAACTAGCTGCAAAGCAGACATTTTTATCAATAAATTACTGTCAGATGTTAAAGACATGCAGGAAATAATATGCCAACGAAACTTCCTTAAATCCAAACATTTTGGAGGGTTATATTCTTTTACAGGGTGAATAAATGCTTGTTTAATTCTGTTGATGCACTAACCCGGATACCATCACTTTTATTTTCTAAACAGGGTTCCCTTCATTATAAAGGAACCCTGATTGAAGAAGAAGCTTGAGCTGTTTTTCCAAGGACCTGGGTTATTTCTTTTATCTGGCCTACCATGCATTAGACTGCTGCTCTATCTGGGGAGTGCTCTGAAGATAACAGCCCACCTGCGACCCTGCAAGGATGAGACAATAGATGGACGGATGGTTGGATCTAAAAGCAATGAGGTGTAGTCACTGTGGCAGAGGGGATGGCTAAAGTTTGATTGTGTTCTTTTAGAGAATAAAGCCTCTCTCCCACACAGAGACCTGGGTCAGCACTGCAGCAGTGGACACATACACGCAATCAATCTGGATTTGGGCTCAACAGGGAGATTCTCACTGAACACTAAAAAGAAGAAAAGAGCCAGAAGAAATGAATGCTCAGAAAAAAAAAAAACCTCTTCTAGATCTCCACTCTTATGCCTCTCAGATCCCCTTTGCGTGTTTTCTCTGTGACTGCAATTTAAAGAATGCAAGGAGACAAAAAGTAATGATCAATATAGTAATCTTAAAGGTATAGTGGAGGATTTTTGCAAATCTTTGAAAAGACACGCAGTCTCCACTTAAAAAAAATAAAAATAAGAAATGCACGACTGAACGCCTATTAAACATGTGCGAGAGCACGCAGGAGCACATTTCTCCTTTTGCACGCTCTATTTAAAAGTTGCTGCATCACTCATACAAGCAAGAAGATTTGCAATTTTTCCACCATGTCAGACTCACCACCGGTAAGTGAAAATATGGATGAGCACGTAGGACTGCCTTACGTAAACATATCATCATGACAATTGACAACTAGGAGGACCACTTATTTTGATGATCCACTTTGAAAAAGAACATCCTCCACTAAACCTTTAAGTAGCAACATTATTACAGCTCCCAAAGCTTTAACACCTATCCGGATGATTTCCAGCTGTTTAGTCGCAGGAAGATTCAAACACGTCTCTAATGTTAAATGCTGAATGTGGGCAGATGTGTTATACACTTAGTTCTTTTAACATTATGCTGTTGAAGTAATGCTCGATACAACTTAGATGAAAAACGCTAATACAAGATGCAAAACTGCATTCATATTGACTTCACAAATATTTTTGCTTGAAAATAACAATAAACCCTTGCTTTACAGTGACTGGTCTCTCTCTGCTTCCCAAACGGTGCCAGACACAAACAGGGGGGACGAAGGTAAATAGAAAAACTATTTATCTGGAAATTCATACCTTAATGTTGCATGCCACAGCTTTTCCATCGTCTCCTTTCAGCATTAGCTTCATGCCACGCAGGGAGTCCATAGCCTTGGTAAAACCGCCATATTCCTGATACTGAACATAAGCCTCAAAGTTCAGATGACCCCCAAAGCTGAAAGTGCTGAAGTTCTTGTCCAGCATATCCTCCCTATATGGATCCAGCATGGGGATGTCAACATTCCGGACCTTAAAACAAAGAAAAAAACAAAACACATTGAGGAATGAAATGGTAAAAATGTATAACTTCAATAAGAATGATACTTTGTATGCCAGAACACCATAAATAAAGTGGACAGTTTAAGAGATTTGACCATATTGCAAAGAATGAAAACCATATGAATTTCATAAACAAATAAAACAAAAATATATATATTTTGTGCTTTTAAAACAAACAAAAAATTAAAGAAATCACCACCTTGCCAAATGTCTGGAACACAGCGATCAGAACCTCCTCAGAAGGACGGTCAGGAAACTGGCTGTCTTTTAGGCTAAACCAGCGACAAGGAAGCCCCTCGAGGTGGATTGTATCAGGCCTCTCCCCTGGCAGGGTCTCATTCATATCTTTAGCATCACGAAAAAAGGAGTCCCAATCATGACGCGTGGGAAAATCCACTTTATTCTCTACCGCACGAACCTGAGGAAAAAGAAGCAAATACAGACAATCACATGTCCTTCTTTTGCAGACTCAGATTTAAAGTTTTATGATTTTTTTTTTTTTTTTATATATATTTGGGATGGATGCGTTTCTAGAGTTACTAACCCATCTACTGTTTTCTAATAGACTGACATGGACAGATTGAGAAACCGATGGGTGGACAACTGGGCGGATGATATGATATGAACCAATATACGGGTGAATGATTGGTCGGGTAGAATGGAGTGACAGAGGGAGAAAAACAGATGGGGGGATTGATAGACAGTCTGAAGCTTGGAGAAGTGGATGGATGGATAGCAAATAAAAAGATGGTCTTATCTACAGAAGAATGAATGAACAGATGACAGACATGCAAAATAAAAATTATTAATGGATGGATTGATTAACAAATGGAGGCAAGTAAAGCAGCTCATAATTTAAGTCAGTAAGTAGAAAAACTTTATATAGAAAACAAGACAGGTCAAAGAAAACGTTTTAAACAAATTGACACCAGGAGTGTTTTAACAGTAGAGTATTCCAGACAGTTTTTAAATGCATTAACATTGAAGTTGACTAAAAAATATACTATCCAAATTATACCATATGTATGAATTCAGAGGGTTTGAGCTTTACCTTGAGCACATCTGTAAATCCACTCAGCTTTATGCTCTTTCCATCCAGACGGGCCAACAGACTCTTTACCACGGTTTTGTTTTCCACCTCCCCCTCAAAGCGAATGTAATCCAGGGTGCTCTTGGAGATCCGCAGGGCTGAGAACAGCTCCGGGGCCACCATGGCCTTCACTCTTTCCATCACCTCCCAGTTAGAGATGCTCTTGCCCGGCAGCTTGAGCTGCGGCAGAGCCACGCTGATGGTCATTTTGGCGATGGGCTTCAGGTACAAGTTGTGCTCAGCAGACAGGCTCACCGCCTCTGTGGTGTCATGCACGATGGTGGTCATGGCTGCGGATAGCTGCAAATGTTGATTTTCAGATTCTAAATAAAAAAGGCTCCAGCTTGCTACAAAACAACCACTAAAGAAAATTGCTTGTCATAAATTATTAAAACCGAGTCAGAGGCGAAGCAAGAAAACCAGGCTAACCCCTATTTTCTAGCATGCATTTGTTCTAACAGTTAGTTAACGTGTCGTTATGGCAAAAACAGAGAGAAAAACTCATGGGTTTAACTCCTTGTGTGATAATTCATTAAAAAATACTTGAAAACTTTAAACGTTGTTGTTTAGTTGTGGATACTGTTAATGTTTTAACAAAAAGAGATGCTACCAACTGCCGCCGGTGAGCTAGCTAGCTAGCTAGCTTAGTGTCGGCTAACTAGCTCGAGGACTCAAACACCTTCAGTTTGCTTCGATATCACGGCGCGTTAGCATCAGCAATAAAATGACACTTTACGACCTACCGAACATCAGCAACACTCCTGCTAAAACAGCGGCGATGTTACTGTAATAGGGCACAAAAAGCCAAACACCGCAGAGCACAACGGATCCATAGAGACACAAACACGGCACCGAAATGCATGAAGTGAACTTTAACCTTCCGCTGAAACAACGTCTAACAGCGCCGCTGCTACAGCCGCTGCGTTTAGAGACAGCGACACCTTCTGGTGGAGCTGAGAACCGGGAAAAGAGTGAGATGTCTGAACAGCAAAGATGCGCATTTTAAACATATATATGAAATAGCATATATTTTTTTATTATATTGTTAAAACACTTTACAGTGCAGTATTTGATTGTGTATATTTTAACCCTTCACTATTATGTTATTTTTATAATTTTTTTAAGGTCCACATTTGTGTGACCTTTTTTTTTTTTTTTTTAAATCTGTCTTTTTTTTGCTGCTGTTAAAACCAGAATTAGGGCATAGAGCTTGGAATCCTGAGGTTCTGAGTTCGAGCCCCACTCCAACAGACTGCCACTCTGATTCTCTGGCAGCCCACTGCTCCCCAAGGGGATGGGTTAAATGCAGAGGTAAATTTCTCCAATAAACCAAGACCAATAAAGTTAAATTATATACATCGTCTGATTCACCTTTGCATCAGGACGTTGCACAAAACTGACCATATCATTTAAATTATGTCAGTAAAGGACTACCTTGTTATTCAGAATCAGGTGCTGTGAAAAATGAAAGAAAACAGCATGTACATATTCACTATGGAGCAACCATAAGACTGTCATTCAGACTGGATCTGAAGCATCGGTGAAAAACTATTTTTAAAGCTTGCTGATGTGACTTCAGATCTGGACCCTCACTGGTCTGTTGTGGCAAAGTGCCACTCACACAGGCTTTTCTCTCTGATTCCCTTCAGTTTAAATTTTATTACCATAAACCTAAAATTAATGACATCACCATCATCATACTCTTATTGTTTAGATCCATTAGTTATCCCATCAGTAGATCAACTTTATCATGTACTAATTACTAGATCTTTGCAAAGCACACATGTTTCTGTGTGGTTTCTGCATCATTCAGACCAACTTTACAAAATACTTCTTCACAAGTGTCAAATTATTTGAAGGCGCTGTGACGAAGGAATATCGGAGCCACAGCGTCCATTCGTTTCTCTTCATACATTAAGCGATACATGAATGTCAGGATCCCTTTGATGAATTTTGTAGTTGAAAACCAGAAAGTTGTGGATGTGCTGAACATGGATTAGTCCGGCAAATGCCCCTGGCAAAAAAGTTGGCACAGTTTCCCTGAAAAGATGGCAGAGGAATTTACATAACAGCATTAGTTCTCTTTGGCGTGTATGTAGGTCAGTTGCTGCAGTCAGACAGCCTCTCTGTTCTGCCCCGATCAGCAGTCACACTGAATAGATAGGCTGCCCAGGGTTACTCTGGATTCCACAGACGATTCTCCTCATCCCTGATCTGCAAAACTAAAATAACAGGATCTCCATTGCCAAGCATTAAAACAACTACAATGACATTAAATTGTAAAAATAGAAATGTATACTGATGTAAGCAGATGCAGTGTAAAGATTGCTTTGAAAATATCTGCTGTTGAGAAGCTTGCAGGCAGGAAACGGTGGATTTAGTGTGACTACAGCCTCAGCACCGGGTCATCAGATCATCAATTCTTCAGCATCAAAACACAAACACAATCGGTGGCAGCCAGCAGTAAAAACGGATGAAATAGGTCATGTCGTTGGAGATGAAGGGCTTTTCCATGCCTCATCTCTGCTCACTGTCAGCTAAAACCAGTTCCTCCCTCACATTTCAGGGGACTTATGTAAACCTTTAGAAGAGATAGA